ATGAAGAATGATTTTGCCCATTGGGGTTTTTGCGGAGAAGGTGGAGCAAATTTACTATATATATGCCGAAATTAGGCCAAGGTGGAGATTTATAATATGGCCAAATTTTTATGACATTTGCCATTACATAATATCCATTATAACAAATTTGTGGATCATGACATTTGCTATGACATAATATCAATTATAAGGCCAAGGATTTCTTGCTATAAATAGAGGAGTTTCTTCTCATTTGAAAACAAACCAATTCAAGAGCTTTTCACTCTTTGTCTTTCTTTCTCCTCCTTTATTTCATTATAGAGTATTTTGTAAGAGAGTGAGTGTTGGGAAACACTTGTGTGAACCCTTTCTTTGGAGTGATCTTGTGAGGTTATTTTTTGGGGGTGTTTGGGATTAATTAGAGTATTTACTCTAATTTTTGTACTCTCTTTTGTACTCTTGTTGGTATAGTGAAATTGCTCCTCTCCGCTTGTGGACGTAGGTCACCTTGACCGAACCACGTTAAATTTGTGTCTTCTTTATATTCTTTAATTGCCGTTATTATCAACTTACATTATCTTTATTATTGTCATTATAACGTTGTTTAGCTAAATTTTGTACTAGCCGAGTTCCCGCTCCTAACAAACTTCAAACCAAAACGAGGACACTGAAAGAACTGAAAAATTTTATAAACATCATGGTACTACTATAACTAAAAGGGTGTTTGGATTGGCTTTAAGCTAGTTAAATCAGTTTTTAAGTTTTTAACTTTTAGTTTTTTTAGTATTTGTCAAAATCAAAAAGTGATTAAAATAAATTAAAAATTACTTTAAACAAACCAAAAACAATAAGCTAGGCAAACTCAACTTGTTGATTTTTGGCTTAAAAGTCATTTCTGCTAAAAAGCACTTTTTAAAGCTAATCCAAACGGGCTCTAAGCATGACGACGATGAATGCAACTCGATCTCAAATTTACGAATCACTCCCTTAAGTTAACTTAGTTAAAATTTCTAACTACTAGTAATATTTTTCTTGAAATTAATTAGATCAAGTAATTTTTATATATATAATGATCGGACTACTTTAAATTCGCGTCAAAATACATTCAGTTAAAAAGTTAACGTTCTCTACTAGAGATTTTTCCATCTTCGAAACCAGTGGCGGAGCCACACTCATTAGCGAAGGGAGTCAAGTAATAACCGTTCGTCGAAAAATATAACTACATTGTGTAGATAGATTAATATTTTAATTTATATATATATATATANTTATGGCACGTACCTCTAATTATAATTAGATCAAGTAAAGTTGAAGGTATAGACATAATAACACGAGCAAAACTCGTGATTTTCTCTACTCACGTTGGTTTGTCTCCCCTCTTCCCTACCTTCACTTGCACTGTACTCCTTATATCTAATATCACTTGCACTACTTTCCAGCCCCTCACTTCCCCTTTCCTCTCTCGTTCTCTCTCGCTCTCTCTCTCTCTTAAACTATACTCCCTTATTAGAGAGAGAAGTGCAGAGTCTGAGAGTGAAACTTACTTCCCATTTTCGCCTGTAATTTTCTGGTTATCTAAGCTTTACAATAAACAATATCCAGAAGAAGAAAAAAAAATGGATGTCTACGGAGTGTCAGCACCGGACTTGTTTCGTATTGATGATCTTCTCGATTTCTCTAATGACGAAATTTTCTCCATTAATAGCAACTCCTCCTCTACCACCGCCACCCCCGACTCTCAACACCACCACCACCACCTTCATCAACCTCACTCCGACAACTCCTCCGCTGCCACCGCCAATTACTACGACGCTCTTCTTCCTAATTGCTCCGACGACTTCACCGACAACCTCTGCGTCCCCGTAAGAATTTTCAACTCGTTAAACACTTAAAATAAAGTAAATAAAAGTAAACTTTATTGAATTCAGCAATTTAAAGTGTTAACTAGAATAGCTTCTATTTACGAGTACTAATTAATTCGTTAACATGCTAGGATTCTCTCTTCTAAAACCTTTTGAACTGTTAGACAAAATATGAAATACTTTTATTTACTTCATTATGCGTTCAACAAGCTGCTTTTTTATTGCAGAGTGATGATGTAGCTGAGTTGGAATGGCTATCGAACTTCGTAGAAGACTCCTTCAGTAATTTTCCGACTAACTCCATCACCGGAACGATGAATCTCAGTTCCAATAGCACAGCGTCGTTTCACAGCAGGTCAAGGAGCAAACGTTCTCGTTCTACTTCAAGCTGGACATCTTCACTCCAAAACCCTAACACTACTATGAAGAATAAGGAGATTTCAGTACATACCAGAGAAAGGTCATCTTCAATGGACGATGATGTGCCACGGAGATGCACACACTGCGCTTCCGAGAAGACGCCGCAATGGAGAACTGGACCTCTAGGCCCAAAAACGCTCTGCAATGCTTGTGGAGTTAGGTTCAAATCGGGCCGGCTTGTACCGGAGTACCGGCCCGCAGCGAGCCCGACTTTTGTGTTAACACAGCATTCGAATTCTCACCGGAAAGTTATGGAGCTCCGGAGACAGAAGGAAATGGTCCATCAACAGCCGCCGCCGACGGAGGAGGGAATGTACGGAAATCACTTTCGAGTTTGCTAACGTCATCCGAAGAGAAGAAGACACGTGTCTCCACCACCTAGCTGACCGTGGACTCCCTCATTTGTTGTTTTATCATCATGCTAATTTTACAGTCTGGAACGTTCTTTTTTATTTATTTAGTTTTATTCCTGGGGATTTTCTTAAGAAAATAGTTCAGAATAATCTATTTTTTATTCTCTTCGTGTATTTTGGAATTTGAGGACTTCAATTTTGTATTGAAGTATGCAACTACCAAATGGGGTGGAGAGAGAGAATTATAGTAGAGTGTGTGATGGGTTGGGAGGTGTGCATTGCACGTGAGTGGATAGGCTTGCATATTTTACATTTACGTCATGTTGGATTTAACAGTAATCACATGGACACTGAGCATAATCAAACTTACGATTTTTTAAGTTAGCAGCAGATTCAATGCATTGCTGTATTAATAAACTAAGTACAAATTTAGTCGATATATATATACATACACATAGAGTTACTTTTAATATTCATTAACTACATATGAAAATATATATATTTACCATTAAGGAATGTAGCAAAATGGGTGAGAATTTCTTACCCTCGCCGAGTTTTGGGATTCAAACACTGAAATAAAGAAAATGTCCTAATATAGAGCTTTTTACCGTTAGTAAATCCTAGCAGTGGAAATCTAGATTAGTTGGATCATAAGAAATGCTTACTCATTAATGGGCACTAAGTATCGAGCCAGTGAGACCAAATACCAAATAATTATTGAAAAAACTAGTTAGTATATATAATTGGATTTGAATATAGGCAATATGATCACATTTACTAGGGGAGTGATGCAAGAAGGGAGCTGACTTTGCATGTGTATGGATAGGTGAGCTTGAGACTAGATATGCTTTGAATATTTTAATGAGTGCTCTTCTCATAGTCCCCACTATAGAGTTGCCCTTTTTATTTTCTGCTACTGCAGATACCGTGGCTCCCAATAAGGGAAGGGAACAAAGTGACACATTTACAGTCCTTTTTTTAGCGTTAAATTAAATCTAAAATGTTCTTTTCATTTTGTGCAAAATTTTGCGTTACTTTGGTGCAGGATTTTAGTCCCATCAAATATGCTCTGTTTTTAACCTTACAATTATATTTCATTCACAAGTTCAACCGCAGTTAATTAATAGATGGTCCTTTTCAAATAAATTGCGACAATTTATATTATTCTTTTAATTCCTTTTTGTTCCAATCAAGTCCATTTCATTCAGCAACTAAATCATTTTGACTTTAAGGGCAAATTAGAGATTTTCCAAATCTTGCCCTCAACAGTACCTAGGCGCCAAAATTAATCCCTGCTAGTTGGTATCACAGACGGATCTTTAACAGTACCTAAAATCAGTTTCAGAGAACACAATTACAAGTTTGCTTGATAGAATCTAACTTTATAGAGTAATATGAAGTTATCTAACCGCACAAACCGAAACCAAAAAGTGAGAAACCGAAACATATACCGAATTTATTTCAGTATGTTAGTATAACATTTTTAAAAACGAAAATACAGAAACCGAAATCTTTCAAAACCGTACCAAACTGACCGATGAACACCACCACCACCCCGCCAAATTTCTCCTCTAGGCTGCAGCAAAGTTTAGAGTTGACATAACCAAACTATAAACGACCAGAATTAGAGCTCCCCAAAATGCTCTTTCTTAAGTGAAAAGGAAAAGGGGACCAGGTGAAGGGAGAAACATAGAAACAGTATCTGGCACCTCACGTCCGGCATGTATTGGATCATACAAAAAAACAGTGCAGTTCAGTCAGACAGATATGCCATAATTGCTTATCTTCGTAACTTCCTTGGTGAGAACATTCCTTTCCTTTTTTGCCTCTGAAGCAAGGTTGGAAACCTGATAACAGAAAATGTCATCAAGTAAAAGATGCTATAATTGAACTATCGCCAAATACACCATAATTACACAACATTACCATAGCATGTTAATGCTTTGGACAATTTAACTGAAGGAGTGAATATTCAAATTGAAGACCTTGTTTTGGATTCTAAAAATGACACTTGAAAATACATCATTTGAATCTTAATCGTTCGAAAATCACAAATTTAATACATATTAGATTTTACTGCAATACACCGAATCTCATATCCACGTGGTTAACATTATCATCATAATCAGGAAGCCTTAACTGCCATTCATAAATCATGTGTTGCACATTAATGAATAAAATACACAAACACTAATTTTCTCACTACCGATTCATATTCTAAAGGGAATTTTCAAAAAGGAAAGCATTTCTTCGTCTCCTAATTGATCCCATCTGTCTCGCAAGAACCTTAAAAGATCAAAGAGCCATTTAGTGGCAATTTTTCGGAGGAAGTTTCTCTAATATTATTTTGGGAGAAGAGAAAGAAGTTCATACAGGAATGTGTTCCAAATAGTAGTAATATTTCTGAAGTTGCATACAGTTTTGTGAGAGGAAGGAGGAATTTCTTGTTCAATAATGTCTCAAACCACTTCTTCATCCAAAAGGTATTTCGAAAATTTTCTTGAGAAAACCTTTAGCCAAACTAACCTTTTCCATGTTTTTGTTCGATTGTTTCAGAGTTTCTCACATCCACATGTCTCCTATATTGACAATACAGGACTTAGTTAACAATGCCTGTGAAATATATTGCTTACCCTAATCTTCTTCTCACATCTGTTGATGTGGTTTAAATTCTCTAATATCAAAGTAATGAAGGGAAATTGTGGTTTGAGAATTACACTAAAATCTCTGAAATGCCATACAAAATACTACTCTTAGGGGTAGTTTGGTTGGAATAAGGGATAGCAATCCCGGGATAAAATGCAGGATTATTTTATCCCGCGTTTGGTTATGGGTATTAATTAGTTCCGGGAACCATTTTGTACTAAAATCGTGTGATTAGCTATCCCATATAGAGGTGGGATACCTAATCCAATAGGATATCCCAACCCATGGGATATCCAAACGACCCCTTAATATAGTTATGCCACATCCCAAACGTACCAAAGTATGCATTCCTGAACTTCTCTTTACTCTCGCTCAAAGAGACAAGACAAAAACAATAGCGACAAAGTGGTTAAAATGTGTTAAATTGGTGAAGCAGTAAAAAAACAAGTCAAACTAAAAGAGTACAGATACATTATGTTTGATTTCAGTTCTAAAATAAATCATTATTATATATTGCAGCGTGCTGTAATCAATAAGAGAATTAATATTATAGGGATCAGGCAGATGGTGATTATAATATAAAATAAGGGGAAAAACTGAAGTAGTGTTGGCTATTAAGGATGAAAAAATTAGATTCCTGGTTTCCTGGCTATTAAGGATGTCCCCTCCCAAAATTACATTTCATGGGAGTATGGTTTCCTAAGCAAAGTCATAAGAGAAAATAGTCAATCAACTGGCTCAATCAACCATGTTCTCCCATTTATACATTTTCTTGTAAGGCCAAGATCTCAAGTTCATAGTTCAAACCTACAAATATGTTTTCTTTTCTTACTTTTTCATCAATCAAATTTAAGGTATCTCTATCTATACTATATTAAAAGCACAAAGCCCTGTAGTGTTCACATTGGATAAAATAGTCATTTGATTATTTACCTAATACATTTAGTATCTTAAAATCATCTAAAATTTTGCATATTGAATCCTTCCTTATTTAAAATACTAGTACTATATAAGAAGTCCTAATATTTAGGATTTTTCAAGCAATTAAAATTATAACTAATAGAATCCTTTCCAAACTTGAACCGTAAAAAAGTAGCGTTTACATGGAAACTTTATGTCATTAATGTGGTGGTAAAACTAGAGCACCTTTTATGAGCTATATTTTAAAATCCAAGTTTATGTTACATTCAGTTAGATAATATGTATGATTGATTTTTTATTCGGTTGAGTATTTAAATGATTGGTTCATAGGCAAAATACTAGCACTTAGGTCCAAACTAGAATATATTGAACTTTCTGATAAGTCTATTCATTCATATAATATTTATTTTACAAATTGAAACTAGATAAAAAGGGACAAAATCAGATTTCTATAATTATAAAACTAAACAAAAAACATGATTAAGTTGGATTTGAAATAAAACACCACAAAAATTATATAGTGTTGGATTTAGTTTCAAAATTCTTTTGAATGGCAACACCTTGAAAGTTATGGATACCAATCTCAAACTACTTTAAGAAATAGTAACAAAACTAATGCAAACACACACATCTTGTTCGGAAATTTATTTAATATTTCAACTCAATCTTGTGCAATTAATCCTTTCCTTATTCTAATTAGGTAACATAATAATTTTATAAAGTAAAGTAATACCAAAAATGAAAAAATCCACAGAGAATAAATAAAAATGTAACAATTACTTGTTGTAGGTTTGAATTATTCTTTGTATAGAATTATAATCAATTAATTCTATATAATTTAATTATCTTTGTAGAAATAAAAAATAAAAGTGAGAAAAACTAAGTAGGAAGCGATAACTAAAGTCGATAGTGTCGATTGACACTTCTTAGATTTTTCTTATTCTTAATGACAGATATATAACCGCTCATAAAATAAAAACCAATTACTTCTATATAATTTAATTATCTTAGTAAAAATTAAAATAGAGAAAAGCTTTTTGTGAAAAATTATGTTTGATTGTGCGGGTATACTATTAGTATGTCATTACCCTTTAATCAAAGACTCATTCTATAAAATTTATGTACCAAAAGATAAACATTATAATAAACACTATAATTAGATATAATTATTTTAATATTCGCAATTATTAAACTCTTTAATCAACATCAAATTCTAAAAATACTTTCTACATGACACTTAACAATTGCATGTTAGGTATACAAAGTTTAATAATATTTATATAATTTTTTAAAGTTCTAAACTTCGTGATATGTGGTACAAGCGCAAAGCGCGTACCCTAAAACTAGTCAAATAAATAGTAGATGAGCCTATTCGATAGATTAAAAAGGAATGGTGTAGGGGACTTACTTGTGACCGGAATCGTGAAACTTCTCTTCGGGGAAGCTCCCTAAGAACATCTTTCAGGCCTGGAGAAAACATACATTAATTAGAGAAGCTCCTCATATAATAAATCACCAATTAAAAGAACTTCGATTTTGCTCAGCAATGGCTCGTCCATAGGACAAGAGTGGATTACTGAGACTTGAACATGGATAACCAGAGAGAGATTGATTGCAAACCTGCAGCTTGCCTTTCTATCTTATATGCTGACTGTATGACACTACGGATTTGTTTGCCTGCTTGCCTGTACGAAGCATTAAGATCGAGCAGAAAATCCAGCTTGTTCAGATAGACTAGTCATGAAGTATACACAACAATCCAGCCGGAAATGCAAACCTGAGTTTCGTCCTTCCTCGTATCATCTCTCCTTCAGCTTGAACTGCCCGATTCTGCAATCATAAGGTGCGAATAAGATCCACTTCACTTCTTGAACAGATTTGTCTAAAAAGTACAATAGTTATACTAAACTAATCAATAGGCAATCCAGTGTTATAAATAGCGCTCGCCTCAGCGCTAATAGCGTGAGGCGAGGCGAGGCGAGACAGTGTCGCCACAGAGCCTCTGTTGATTTGCGTTTCGAAATAGCGCTCGCCTCTGCCTGCGTGGCGAGAGGCGACAGTGTCGCGAGAAGCGACCATAGCGTCGCCTTTTGTTTTTTTTAAAAAAAAAAAAAGAAAAAAAGCAAAGACTCAACAAAAAGGGTCGTGATTAGGGCTTGACAACATATCTTCTTCAACTTGAACAAAACAACAGAGCTTCTTTGAGACTTTGACGTTCTGAACTCGCGAGCCATCGTCTTCTTCTTTCAGAAGCTTGAGGTTCCAGCCATTGAAAGTCCAGGTATGCTTCTTCTCCTTTCTTCTTTCTTCTTTTTTCTTTCTTCTTTCTTCTTCTTCTTCTTTCTATTTTTTTTCCTCTGTTTTTTGTCGAAAAGAACAGAAACAGAGGTCTGTTTTCTGCTCTATTTTTCGAGCAAAATACAGAGGTTTCTTCTTCTCCTTTCTTCTTTCTTCTTTTTTCTTTCTTCTTTCTTCTTTCTTCTTTCTCCTTTCTCCTTCTTCTTTCTATTTTTTTCCCTCTGTTTTTTGTCGAAAAGAACAGAAACAGAGTTCTGTTTTCTGCTCTATTTTTCGAGCAA